TAATTTATCTGGCAGTAGATGCCATTTTTCTTTAATCGCTGGATGTGAACTAGAAGTTAGAATGTACAAGGGCAATTTTTGACCAAGAATATCACAAAATCAAGCCAAAACAACATCAGAAATCCAGAAATTTGTTGCCAAAAATTACAAACACATCCAGTGCTTGTGGTGAGTGCACAAAACTAAAATCAGTTACACAGATCAGGCTATTTTGATTTTACGAATGCATGGGTCTCTTACAACAACAAAAATGGGTCTTAGAAATGAGTATGGGTTTAGTTATGAGAGTGGCATACTTTACCAGGTGACCCCGCCCCCCTTTAAGCCATTGTCTTAAACACAAGCAAAATTTAAACTACAATGCCCCCCCCCCCCAATGTTTTCAAACTGTATAAACACCTTTATCATCTACCATACTTAAACTAGCATATAAACTGAAAACTTGGAATGGAAAAATGGATGAAACATCAGTGCAGTCGCTAATATATAAAATTCAAATCAAAGACCTATATAGAGCTTTACAATTTTCTCAGTCACTTGGTATAGACATATTTCGCTAGAGAGTATATTGTCAATGGTTGTATGATCATTTTACAACTTTGTAGCCAATCTTTCAACAACCGAACAAAACAATCAAGCAGTTTACTTCTGTGGAATAAAAACACTATTATGCGTTTAAATAGGTTTCTTCTTAACTGTCATGCCTCTCTTAGTTCTAGTCATGGTAAAATCATGGAAGTACTGTTTTAAGTGCCCATAATACTCTTATTGGAGTATAGAATTTCTGTATTGTCAGAGTATTAGTCTGCTAATTCAGGTAATCCTCAATTAAAGCTTTCTTCTTTTGAAAGTTTTCAAATAACTTAAATTCAGTCTATTATACAGCATTGGATTGTCCCTGGCAAGGTCATATTTCTCTTAATTCTTGTGGGAAATTCTTTTTTTAGACCTACAATCTGTTTAGCTATTGAAATGGTGCTGTGTCCAGTATGTCTGTATATGGAAGAATTCTAGCCCAAAAAATGCTTAACTGTTTGGTTTCAGTGTAGCTCTACCTTGAGGATCATAGGTGAGAAGTTTTTTTAGATATGGCCAACATTATGCAAATAAGTTGGTGAAAATGATCAAAATACAAATGAAATAGTTATACAGAGAGCTGTATACTTATGTAAATAAGTTGGTGAAAATGATCAAAATACAAATGAAATAGTTATACAGAGAGCTTTATACTTATGCAAACAAGTTGGTGAAAATTATCAAAATACAAATGAAATAGTTGTATACTTACTTATTACCTAGTTTGCTTAACAATTTCTAAATTTTCCCATGTTTACATTTTTTGTAACTATAAACTCAGAGGTAGATAGCAGCTTATTTTATGGAAATTTATGCATAAAACTTTGCCAATTTACATAACATTTGTTGTGAGGACTAACATGTTGAAAGTAAAAGATCTCATTACAAATTTTATTTTTCAATACTACTTATTTGTCTTTGACTACAATACTCTCAGACATATTTCCAAGTTTTTTTATTGGTAGCTGGCAGTAGTAAACTTTGTAGTAGTTTATCTTGATGTGAATCCAACTTTTCAAACATTCCCATGTCACAAGAGACTTAAGTTTGACAAGAACCTTGGATTTGTGTGCATTTTACTCACCGTCTACTATGTTCCAACAACAAAGAAACAAACAAATCATTTAGTCAAATTTACATACTTTATCCTATGGAAATTTGGTTGCTGAGAAACCCTCGACTTTCCTCCCAGAGTGTCAGTCTCACTGGATGCTGGTTGCCCAGCAACAGATAATTAATGATGTGGAGACCAAAGTAGCTAAATCACTGGCACAATAATCCAAGAATATGTCCTTGTCATTGCAGGTCTACATGTGATTTATTTTCAGTAACACTGTGTTATTTCAAAATGTATCTAAACATTTCTCCTCGTCCAATCATAATTTCTTTTATTTTGTATAAAATTATATCACAGTCCACTAATAAATATTCTCATCTTGATTTTTAGCTCCGCTGTCGACTTTGTCGAGCGGAGCTTATCATATGAGTGATTGTCCGTCGTCGTCTGTCGTCGTCGTCCGTCGTCGTCATCCGTCGTCCGTCGTCCTTGGGTAGACCTCTCTTAGATTTGTTCATTTCATGATGATATCTTCAATTCCCTAATTTTGGTGAATATTTTTGTCATTTTTAGTAAAAAGTGATATTTTCGACTTCTTGTTGAAAACCGCAATTGCTTTGATATTACATATATAGGTACTACATGTGGACTTTTCTCAGATTTGTTCATTTTGTAATGATATCTTTAATTCTCTAATTTTGGTGAATATTTTTGTCATTTTTGGTAAAAAGTGATATTTTCGACTTCTTGTTGAAAACCGCAAGTCCAATTGCTTT